CATGTTACGTTGGATCATTTAAAGATCAAGATTTTAAAGGAAAAATGTTGTTGAATAAGTATACATAGAAGCTTTGGCACAAATAAAGCATTTCTAAGGTTTGCTCACATAATATATGATATGAAATAATATAGGTAAGAACACTTTAAAATGCTTTATTCCATGGTATACAGTTAACTATATATATATATATGAAATTATTAAAACTTGATTAAATTTTTTTCCCTAACATTTATTGTTGTAAAAAATTACATTAAATATAATTTCATAAATTATTATGTCTAACGATATTTAGTACTATTGGTAAAATATGTCTTGTTCCCATGAAGATAATGAAAACCTTTATTTTTTTGGGGAAAAAAAATAAAAACATCAATGGCTTGATGGGAGTTTCAATCCAAATTTTCTTACTATGATTTCCAACGTCCGGAAAATTATTTATTCTTTATAATGCTTTTATTATTTTTATTTTTTATTGGAAATGCGATGGTTCATAAGAGAGCCACTTTGATATATTATCGGACCTATGGCAATTTAATAACATTTTAAGAAAATTGATATTATTTATTTGAATGATTAGAAGTTTTTAAGTCAAATTAAACAAGAACTATATCTTCTTTTGTCCAAAAAAACAAGAACTATATCTTTACCCGAAAAAAAAAAACTAAAACTATCATTCACATAATCCTAAAAAGCTTTCACAATCATCCAAATATAATTTTTCTGTGTATTAAATATTGCATAAATATCTTTAACAATCCTCTAAAGCACATGTGTATTCCAAGAGTTATACTGAGATTTCATGACGCGTTTCAAGATTTAGTATTTTCTTTTAAAATTAAAGTAAACCATGGGCTTTGTAATCGATGGAGATAATAAGTTGTATTGTTCATAATTATAAATAACATGGGTTTATGTAAAGATTATAATATATATATATATATATATATATATATATATAAACTGAAAACTTATATAAGAGGGGCTGTACTCTTTCATGTTCACAAAGTGAAATTATTTAGAACAGAAAAGCATCTACCGTTATCAACTCATGTTGACATGATTTAAAAAAACAGAAAATTCTAAAAAAAAATGTAATTATTAAAAAGTTTTATAATAAGTGAATAACGAATTTTAGTGTAAAATAATATATTCATATTAAAAATTTAATAAAGTGACTTATGAATAAGATTAAGAAAAATATTCTCTCTTTATCTTATTAATAGTATTAGAGGAATCCTATAGTGGATGAGCTACTTACTTTATTTAATAAAAATTAAGAATATAAAAAAATTAAGTTTGTTGGATGTCGGAAAAAAGTATAAAATAGATTAATTTTTAAATAATTCTGGCAAAAAAAAATTAATAAGACACTTTATGAAAGTAAGTGATAGTGATTTAGCAACCACCATCCCTTGTTTATAAGTATAAGTAGCAGTTATAAGTTGTGCTCAATTTTTATATCAAATTTTCTATTTTATCAATATTAAAAATTCATTTTAATAGGTAATAGGAAAAATGGCAAATAAGAAAGTTAAATATTATCATATTTCAAATTAGGCACCTAATACTTCAACATCCCATGTGAGAAAATGGTATTTGATTCTGTAATTTACAAATATAGTTAAATAATTAAATTACCCTTATATTAAAAATTGTATTAATAAGTTGTGAACTAATAATGACAAGCATTAAATAACTAATGGCACAAAATGTATTGACAATAATAAGTCATTTATTAACAAATTGTAAACTGACAATAACAAGTATTAAACAATAACAACGAAATCCCTAATGCTCACTTATCATCAAGGTTTTTTTTGGTAATAATCTTTTCTTATAATTTCATTGTAATTTTTTTAAAAAAATTTCCTTTAACCCTTCAATTATAGATTATTTGGAATTGACCCGCTAGTTATCGCTAATATTTCCTTTATTGGTGATCTCGCCATTGAACTTCTTGATTAGAGTTCTTTTAAGGAGTTTGCTTTCCATTATTTGTAACTTTACGTGGGGCCCTTAAGCCCATCCTACGTAATTATTTCCCTGTGTTTATTATGTCCATTGATAAACCTTTCCAAAAGAGAGATGCAAATTATGCTTGCTTTTTTTCAAAAAAAAAAAATCTGAGTCCATAATTTTTTCAATTTTTAATCAGGTTTACATAATGTTTTTAATCATATTCTTATAATTCCACCTAATTTTCAATCAACTCACTGTAGTTTTTTTTTGCCATTTTTATTAGATCTTTATAGTTTCACTTGATTTTTAATTAGGCTTTTTTTTTTTTTTCCAGAAACCTAATTAAAAATTAAGTGAAATCATACAAATCCAATAAAAAAAAGTAAAAATACATCTAATATCTTGAAATACTTTTTTTTTTAAGATGTATTTGATATCCAAAAGTATGTTGCGGTGCATTATGTACTTTAAATTGTTAAGTGTAAAATTATACTAAAAAAATTTAAAATGCCAAATACATATGAAAAAAGATACTTCAAAATACTAAATACACTTCAGAATATTTTAAGATATTGAATGCATGTGTAAAAATACTTCAAAAATACTAGATGCACTTTCACCAAAAAAAAATTACAGAAATATGATTTAAATTTTGGCGAAACTTTAAGGATGAAAAATGGTGTTTGCTTTCAATTATCGATAGGTGTGAGCCTTAGGCCCCTTTCTAGTCTTTTCCTTTTTTTTTTTTTGCCAACCTAGTCTTTTCCTTATTATTCCCATCAATAAATAAAGTAATAAATTCTTGGAAATATTGCTTAAAATTATCTGCTGAAAATTTTATTGGCTAAGAGCTCTTGAACTTGGTTGGCAAAAAAAAGGAGCACTTGAACTTGAATGGATGCAATTCAGTTATGTACCACCTATATTTATCTATATCCAAATGCATTTTAGAAATCTTTTTCACATAGAGTTGAACATAAATTATACATAGTTAAAAAAGAGTTGCATTTGCAGAAGATGTGTTGTGCCTAAATCCTCAAATAAATTCAGGTAAAAATTTTCAAACAAATACTTTGTTTGCTATTAACCTAAAGTATATGTTTAGTTATTTAACTTTATAAAAAGTTTCAATTTGATTCCTTAACTTTAAAAAGTATAACTTTTGCCCTTTAACCCTAAACTTGTTAATAAAAAATGATAATTTTAAAATCTTAAATGTTGATAAATATTTTTAAATACTAACATATTAAGTTTAATTTTTAAAACAATCATAGTTATTAAAAAAAATTATCATTTAACCCTAACTATTTTAGGGTTACATAACAAAGCAAACATTATTTGGGGAACGGACTTAAGGCCGCACCTAAAAATACAAATAATGAAAATAATAAAGTGTGAATTTGCTTCTTTAACTTTATACTACCTCCGGTCCTTAATATAAGATCCTATTTGACTTTTAGTTTGGTCTTAATTATAAGACCCCGATTCATTTTGTCTCTCATATTTATGTATTTTTTTTAAAAATAATCCTTCTAATAATAATAATTCTAGCCAATACGCTTAATTAGCAAGGATATTTTAGAAATAACAACACTTATTTATTACAAATAACTAATTTAACTTACTTCATTAATCTCTTCAAATTAGTCAACTAGCTCTTATAATTAGGATCGGAGGTAGTGTGAAGTTTTAATTTGATCCCATAACTTTCAAATGATAATTTTAAGATCTTAAATGTCGATAAAACATTTTCAAATGCTATCATATTAAGTTTAATTTCTAAAACAACTATGATTGTTAAAAAATTTATCATTTAAGCTTGTTTAGAGTTAAACAACTAAGTGTATACTTTTCAAAATTAAAGGATCAAATTAAAATTTCATGTACAAAAAAGGGGGGCTTGACTGGATGCACAAAAAAAATAAAAAAAATGAAAAAAATCGAAAAATAGAAAGGGTCTGCTTTTGACATGAAATGGATATATCCATATATCTCTGAATTATATTTATGAGATAATAAAATATGGGAAGACCTATACCAAAAATTGGTTCACATAGAAATGTACATATTGGTTCACGTAAGAATACGCATAAAATACCAAAGGGAGTTATAAAGAAGTAAATATATGCTTATTATTTTGTATTTTTAGATGTGGGCCTTAAGTCCGTTTCCCAAACAACGTTTGCTTTGTTCCTTCTTTTGGGTAAAAGGAAAAGAGGAGCAGATTTTATTTGCTTTCCCGTATTGGCAGCTTTAGGTGTGGGCCTTCAGCCCATTCTAGATAACTTTTTCCTTATTATTTCCACTGTTTTTTTCATTAAAAATATGCTAATTATTGTTGTGCTTTTCATATATTATATATTGTGATAATTTCGTCACTAATAAGTTTCTCTGACATATGCATCTCTTTTTTAAGTAAACATAATAACACATGCACGTCTCAAACAATATATGTGAGTGTTTTTTTATTTTTTATTTGCGAATTTGAATTGATAAAGGAAAAATAATATTTAAATGCAAAAAATGAATTAATAATAGTTAGGTTTTTTTTAAAAAAATTAAGATGTAAATTTGATTCAGAGTAGTTTATGAAACAAGTTACATTAAGCTATTAGTGAGCTGCTGAATATGGCTGGTAAAAAAAAATAATAATAAAGAGCTGCTGAATATGTGATTTTACTTATCTCATTAAAAAAAACTTAAATTGAAATAAACATTTTGAAAATCATAAATACCTATATATTAATTATAATTACAATTACAATGAAATTTAAGTCAAAATAGTTTAATTTTCTTTATTAAAATTGACAGAGGAAACTAGGGCTCGCCTTGTACTAGTGTTGTTTTGTAAGATTTTCAGTCTTTAATTCAAAAAAAAAAAAATTGACAGCCTAGTGTTAAGGCTAGGACAACATATTTGGGTGCTTGGATAGAATATTAACGAATGTTTGGCAGATACTAGGATAGTCTCTTCCCCATCCGAACAACGATAACCCGAATAGGGTAATACTCAAAACGCTAAACACCTTGTACCCTTGTGCACTCGCCAGCCCGCAAAGGAAATCTCACCTTGTTCTCTGGTGCGTTCGGCGGAACCGACTCAACGGCCATCGCCCACGGTGGCTGTCGATCTCTCCGGCGTGTTCTCCAGGTGAGTGTTAACTTTTTGATTTTCTTTGTCTTTTAAATTAAATGCTCTGGAGGTTTTAAGAAGATGCGTGATCCCATTCCCTGCACGTTTTGACTTTCTTACTTGGGCTTTCTAGATTTTGATTTTGGACGTGAATGTTTGAATTTTCTGGATGTGCTTTTGTCTTATGCCTGTAAAGATTACCTATGAGTGACTATGGTATTTGCACCTAAAGATCTAGTAACGTTATCATTTGTAGTTTTCTCCCTCCTTTTTGGGTTGAAGTGTTATATGACGTTTGCGCTTTCGAGAGTTATCTGATTGGATCGTTTGCCTGAACTTGAGTCCATCACTTCAGGATGTTTGCTTTCATGTAGTCAAGTGACTAGCGAAGTTGGAGGTTTTTAATTGGGCATCTTTTTTCCTTTTCATTCTTTAGCTTGTAGTCTATCAAGTTCTCTGGATTCTAATAAACTATTTGTTTACTCAAGACTAAATGATATGCATTGATATCGATGTTCTGTTTCCTGCTCCTTTCAGGTGTTTCCTTGCCGGAATAGGAGTTCCCAATGTATACTTTACTAGTCTGATTAGACATTTTGAGGCAGATAGCAACCCTACTAGTTTAGAATGAGCTTGCTATTAAGATTAAGGAGTCATTTACCCAATGGGTTCTATAAACAACCTCTTTGTTTGACTGCTAGAGGTCTTAATCTGAGTAATTTGAATGTCCATCCAAGATATTTTGGTCAAGCTGCAAGGAAGGAGGAGGACGATGATGTGGAGGAAGTGGAAATTGATCAAAGAAGGCTCCCAGCTGATTTTGATCCTGCAACATTTGATCCTACTGAGCATAGGAGTCCTCCATCGGAGAGAGTCTTCAGGCTTGTTGATGAATTGGCGTCTCTAACACTAGCTGAATCTGCAGAATTGGGTCCCATTCTGATGAAAAAGATGGGACTAAAGGAAATGCCTACTGTGGGGTATATGAAACCTGGAGCTGCTGCTAATTTGGCTGGAATGGCAATGAAGGCACCTACTGCAGCCAAAGAGGAGAAGAAGCAAGAGAAGACTGTATTTGAATTAAAATTGGAATCCTATGAAGCAGCTTCAAAAATTAAGATCATCAAAGAAGTCAGGGGTTTTACGGATTTAGGTCTGAAGGAAGCAAAGGATTTAGTGGAGAAAACACCATCCATTATAAAGAAAGGAGTTTCTAAGGAAGATGGAGAACAGATTATAGAGAAAATGAAAGCTCTTGGTGCGAAGGTTGTCATGGAATGAAGGTAAACCGTTGCACATTGTCTTGTTGGAGAGCTATTGAAATGTGTTTTTCATTATCCCCACATTTCCTAAAGTTTTCTCAGGGATACTAGGTTGACAGATTTATCCATTTGTGCTCATTTATGAATTTGAGCTGGAATTTGATAGTGCAGCTATTGAAGAATATAATTCATTAGAACAAGACCTAGGGAAAGTTCTTTCTAATGAAAGCATTTAATGTTGACATTTTTTACAATTTTCCATAACATTATTGACTTTAGAGATCCTTCACATGTCATATTAAACTTATGTTTAATTTCACGTTGAAAACCATCAAAATCACGCTTTTACTTCCACAAAAACATGGTTTTATGATTTCCATTGTGAAATCAAATATGCATAAAGAACCTTGATAGCAAACAATTTAAGAATTTCACTTTTAAGTTTCTATTCTTGCCATGTCCTTTAAGATGAAACATGCTGTTGCTATGACTTCTGGTAATGCAATATAACGGATACTCAGTAATGTTACCTTTTTTATGGGGTAAATAATTTTCTATTCAGACATATAATAGTTGTTTTATTTACCTGTTTGGCTGGTTTGAGATGTGTTTGTTTTATGGGGTAAATAATTATTTTTTGCCCCGTGTTAAATGTTTTAAACTTTCGAAGCCAAACAGTATGGTTGGTTGAGTCAAATTATAATTTGGACTTTTTGTATCAATGGCAACTGAATTGGTCGACTTTTTCTTTAAAGATAAGATCACAATAAAAAACTACTCGTGCTCCTTAATACTAATCATGTTTTAGAAGGAATTTTTTCGTCTCAAATACAAGTTACTTGGGGAGATGTCCATAGCATTAATTATTTTATTTCATTTATGCCCTTGGTCTACAATTAAAAGATATTCTTTTCAGTTTTTAATATAAAAATCAGATAACTAATTTGTACATTAGCACAAAAAAAAAAGATAATTAATTGGTGAATATTAAAAAATTAATTTAATTATTTATAATAATGAATTTCATTGCTAATCATGTATAACAATATATCTAAAGACTTGATTGTTGATCGTGCAATTTATGTACTAATTTCACTTAGTGGGATAAAGCTTCTTGTTATTGAATATCATTTCTAATCATGTGCATGACTATCCTATGATTGAAAACTTTTTATGATGTGTAATTAATGAGAATATTTTTAAAAAAATTATAAATTTGAGAGCCAAATTGAATTAATGTTTTATATTTAAAATTAAAGTAAACTTTTGTCTAGCTTTTTTTCCTTCCCCCTCCCAGCAGAAATTCTTGTCTAGCTTTAATATTTAGGATTAAGGTGGTAATTAATATGATCCTAGAGTTTAAATCATTCGCACATTGGTATCTCATAATTTTATCTTAATTGTTCTTTGATTAAAATCTAATTTATGAATTTTTTATGTCTTGAGTTAAGCATCCGGTGGCAATCTCTTGGTTTGTCCGCTACAGTTTAAAAAAGACTTGATCACATGCTCGGAAAACATGTATGAATGATTTCGCTATTAAATATTACTATTTGCTAGAAAATGAGATGGATCAATTTAAGAGCTTAGGTAAGGCAGGTATATCAAAGTTATAAGTATAAAATTAGTAAGATTTTAAAACATTGATGATTACGAATCAAAATAGAATCATAATTACAAGACTAATCATTTTTGTGCTGACATCCATGATTTTTGTTGTCGAAAATAATAACATTATAAATTATACATGCCTCGTAGCTTTTATAAAATATAATGATATAATTATCATTATATCATATAAGACTAAAATATGATGATAATAAACAATTACTGTTCATTTTTTAGTTGATTTAAATTTTTTTTTTTAAAGTCTTGCTGGTGTATTTTTATGGGGCAATAAGTGACGATTTTAGTTTACATATCTAAAGAATTAAACAGGAACGTATGAAAAAGGCAACTTATTTTTTAAACTAAATATAAATTTAAAAATTCTTTATTAAATTTATTTTATTACCCTTCCTTCTAGACTTTAGAGGTATCATTGATGCAGAGTTGATTCACAAGATATCCATAATTAAATTACAAATTAAGTCTTATATTAAGTAAAGGAGAAAATGTATTGCCATGTTAAAATATTGTAACAATAATAGAACAAAAAATAGAAGAAACCATAATTAAATATATACCAGATGATATTATTAAGGCAAAAATAATTTTTTCAACACAAGAACTGACCACTAGTTTCAACTACATTTGTATGTATAAACAAAACAGTAAAATTAAAACAAAGAAGATTGGTATTTTAGCAATAATAACGGCAATGTTGCAGTGTGGTTTCCATAAGGTCGAAGAGTTCATTTGAAATCATTTATAAACACTGTTAATATAAGTTGAAATAAAATTTTTCTTATATATTTACTTTGTGTTTTATAAATCACGATTAAAAAACAAAGTTTTTGAAAGTTCCAATCACCATTCCAAACAAGCCAAGCAGCAAAATTTGTTGCATCACGTCCAAATCCATGTTAATAAATTTCTTCGAAGTTCATGTAATTTTCTTTCCTCAATTCATATCTATAAATGTTCTTCTCTGTAGTGAAAATCAATTGATCCCCCTTCATAACAATAAATCTTGTTACGATAATAGGAACTTCTTCTTTTACATCTGTTCATAACTATAAATTGGGAAAGTTATTTCATTTTTAAAACCATTTTAATCATTTAAAATTATTATTGTTAATGTTAACTAAGTTATCTCGTACTCCTGTAATTTATATTTATATAAATTTACTGATATATAGGTATATATTACCTCCGGTCTTTAATATAAGACCTTGTTTGAATTTTATTTTGATCCTAAATATAAGACTCCAATATATTTTGTCTTTCATATTTATATTTTTTTTCAAAGTAGTCTTTCTAATAGTAGTTCTAGCCAGTACACTTAATTAATAAGAATATTTTAGAAAAGACAACACTTATTTAGAACAAATAACTAATTTAACTTACTTCCTTAATCTCTTTAAATTAATCAACTAACTCTTATAATTAGAAACTTATAATTAGGAGCAGACGTAGTATATTTTTAATTCGAGGGAATATGTATTAACTTGAGGTGATGCGGATAGGAGCCGAAGAATACCTGAATTCATCACAAACGACACCAGAAAGCCGCAAACTTTATAATCTCGGATAGCACGAAGCAATGAGGCAGTACAGCAGTATGATATGAGAAATTGCCATTCCCTACACCGTCGATAGCATTGCTGGCGGCGACCAACCAAAAAGTGGATCTCTCTTAGTTTCTTTTGGGGTCCCGCCCTTTTATCCCTTTGCGTTTTCTCGCGCCTTTTCCCGGTGTAGCACTCTCTGGTCCAGCGCACACTGAGAATAACCATTTTCCGGTAATCTTCTGTGAGAATTGCCCTCACAGCTCACGTTTCTTTACCGAATTATCCCAATGTTATTTTTTATTGACTCTGTTATGAGTTATGACCCAATTTTGAGACATTCTTTTACGAATCTTGCATTGTTTAATTATATATTAGTCCATATTTTTTTTATTGGTTGCTGCATTGTGGCTGGACTTGGGTTTAATTAATTTTGATGATGAAACGACAGAAAATTGGTGGAGTCCACAATGCTATTTGGTTTCTCCGTGGTTTTTCGGCTATGCTGAGGCATGTATACTGTTGTTTGTGTTGTGCGTTCTAAAGTTACAAGTTTTGTTCCCACAATATGAGAGCAGCGTGGTGAATTTTTCGCTATTAGTTCCAATTCTCACGCTTAAGGTTTCGGGATAAAATCTTGTACATCTTGTGCGTTCTTACATCTACCTTAAAATTTTTTAGCTGATCGTATTGCTTACTAAATGTAACAGGCAGTCTCAAGATTTGATCTTCGACCAATTGTTATACTTATAACACTCTCTGAAGGACACACTATCTGTGAGGGAATGTTAACACCGTTGTTGATGGAGTCCCTTGTTCTTAATCTCCATGAGATCTCTGCTGTCAAATTTGGCAACTTCAAGCTCAAATCTGGCATTTCCTCACCAATATACTTGGACCTCCGACTCATTATATCATACCCTTCCCTTCTCCGCCAAGTCTCCCAAACACTGATATCCTCTGTCTCCTCCTCTTCCTTTGACCTTGTATGCGGTGTCCCTTACACTGCTCTACCCATTGCCACTTGTGTCTCAGTCACTCAGAATATTCCCATGGTCATGCGCCGCAAGGAAATCAAAGACTATGGCACTGCTAAAGCCATTGAAGGTGATTTCAAGGCTGGCCAAAGTTGCTTGATCATTGAGGATTTAGTTACCAGTGGCACTTCAGTATTAGAAACTGCTGCGCCCCTGCGTGCTGCAGGGTTGAAGGTTAGCGATGCTGTTGTTTTGATTGATAGAGAGCAAGGTGGGAGAGAGAATTTGGAGGAGAATGGGATCAGGCTACATTCAATTGTTAAGTTGACTGAAATGGTAAACATTTTGAGGGAAAAGGGAAAGCTTGAGAAGGATATGGTAGAGGTTGTTATGAAATTCTTGGAAGAGAATCAGAGGGTTGCTGCATTAGCAAAGTCAATGAAGCCTAAAAGGGTCAAGGCTTTGTCTTTTGGGGAAAGGGCAAAGTTGTCTAAGAACCCAACTGGGAAGAGGTTGTTTGAGATTATGGCCGAGAAGGAGAGTAATCTTTGTTTGGCTGCAGATGTTGGAACTGCAGCTGAATTGCTTGAAATTGCAGCAAAGGTAAGAACTTGATATTTTCTTTTGGAGGAAGTTTCCTGAGATAGTGGTAAAGAGAAATCCTTTGAACAAACTAGCACTAATTTTTTCACTTGAGACTTAGATGTTCACTTTCAGCCTAAGTTCTGTATTTATTTATTTTTTAATTTTATTTTAGCTATTTCTAGAGGCCTCTCATTTGGCTTGATTTCTCATATATGTTGAAAATTTAAGGGTTTTCAAATGAAAGAAAGTTGAAGCTTGAATGGGTAAAGAGTCATGCCTCTCTATTCAAAAGCTAGTTTGTGATTAAAAGTAAAGCCCTGCTAACTCTTTCTAACTAGTTTTCTGTGTCATTTTCCTATTAGGTTGGGCCTGAGATATGCTTGCTGAAAACTCACGTGGATATTTTGCCCGATTTTACTCCTGATTTTGGCTCTAAGCTTCGCATGGTAAAATTCCTAATTCCAAGTTTATTGTGTGCATGCTTTGCCAGACTATAGGGGGTCTGTTGGCATTCATTAAGGAAATTGTATTGATTTTCCTATTTCCTTTGGTGGAGTGCCATGCATAATTTGGTGCATCATGTCTGATAAATTTTG